CAGTGTAATCAAGCAGATTTGTTACTTATTTTTTTACATTTGCACATCTACTTACAACAGAACAACATGAGCAGTTCGTTACAGAGCCACCAATCTTCGTAGTATACGATGCCAGGTTTCATTCAATATTTATTCTTTCATTTCAGAATGCCAGTCTCTGATTCGCTGGTGCCTTTCATACAGGCCGGAGGATCGGCCTAGTTTGGAGCAGATTTTGCAGCATCCTTGGATGATGGAGAGCACTGAGGACATTGGAGATTTGCAAGCAGAAAGCAATATTAAGCCAAGCCTTTAAATCCTGAAGGACTTTGGACTCGATTCAGAAATTTCACACACAGTTTTGTTTTACACACTGGACTTCCTGAACTCTAGTTGCTGGCTTCTGGATTCTTCCTTATTTATTTTTTTGTTTGGCTGCCTTCAACGTTCGTTTCATTTGGACTTGGGATCTATGCTTCTAGATGCCCAGAATAGCCCTGGATTGCTGCAGGTTTACATTATGAATGAATATTTCCCACGACTACAACCATCGCAGCTCAATGCGACTTTTTTTTATTTATTGCGGATTATTTAGTTTTTCCGCCATGTACTAATTCATTTTTTGTAAGAATTTCAGAAGCAGTAAACTGTGTTCGTCTTGTTTGTTGGTTGTTTTGAAGTTCTAACCGACTTAAATGACAGTAGGTGGGCTTGCAGTTATTTACCAGACTGCGATGATACCTGGTTTTACAGGTTTCTGTTGTACAGTGATATTCTCTCCCTGTTCTAAGGGGTTTCAAAAAGACTTTGGATCTGCTTTCCAGTCTTTTGACGGGAGGCCTGGCGGAACAATAATTCTGGCTCACGTGGATCTGTTCCCATTTATCAACACTTACTCTCAAAGAAGGTGTGACCGAAGAGAAGAGGAACATTCCTGTGGATCCTGTTTACTCTAAATGAACCAGTTCCCTGGATGGATTCCTCAGAGCCATTACTAAGCCGGCTTTTGGTTTCTGTCTGTATTGTTTGCAAAATACCTGCGTTGTAACTTAAAGAATGTTGTCAGGACGCTTTGTACTGAACAAACTCAGCTATGTGTCATTTTGTTGTCAGCATGTTAACTAATGTCAGGAGGGTTTCAACCACTAACCCACTGTTGATGTGGACTAAAAAAGGGCCTATGGGCTTTTCCTAATCGTTTGATTACACACCAAAGAGATCTGCCTTACTGTCTTGTGTGAGGTAAACAGGCATAATGCCAGATTCATTTGATTTGGATTTGAAATCTGGACTAAGTAAAGCAAAACAGCATTGACATGTTCGAATTGTTTCATTCGAGACTTTAAAACTGAATGTGTACAAATTGGACCTTTCCCAACATAACATGTAATGCATCTATGTAAACACTGGGGTATTTTTGATACAGTCAGTTTTCTTTTTTCTTTCATTTTTTGTTAAAAAAAAATCCTTGCGGTTTTTGCTTGGGTTGACACAACAACTTTGCTGTAAATACTTGTGTATTCAACAATGTGCTGTGGCTGTTGTCACACGATTAATTTAAGGTTTAATTTAAGAGATTCTATGAATAAAAAATATAGATGTGAAATATCTATATTTAAAGAAACACCTGTCTTGTCTTTTCTATCCATTTTTGCTCATGCAAATAAGAAATAAAATGAGAAACTCCAGCCATATCAGTGATCATAGTTTTCTGTTCAAGTTAAGGGACTTTTTAAACAGGCCTCTCTAGTCCAACCATTCAGGTTAGTTATTCCCGACAAGTGAAGCAGGAATGTTTCTATCATGTTCACGTGCTTGCTTTATTGTAATGACAGAACTTACTTTTCCACATGGTTTAACGCCTGCAACTGACACCCTGAATGTACTGTATATACAAGTATGTTAGACACCAAGTGTGCCGCACTAGTCCTCAAAAGTGAAGCCTTGCGTTTCGATCTCCCCCAGGTAGCTGGTCCCAGTATAGATCATAAACCCCACCATCTCCATGTAATCTAAAGGGATTTAGACAAACTAAATAATTACATTTCACTTCAAATATTTTGTTTTCAAACATGGTTTTTGACATTTGACGTAGATTTTAATCACGCTGATGTAAGTTCAAGTGCTCGTTTTTAAAATAAGTTTGGTTTTAGTTAGTTGTGATGCTATAAAAATGGGAGTGTGACGTTATGATTGACAGCTGAGACTGAGAGCTTCTCTGAGTGAACTGAGGCGCCAACAGACTTTTTCTGGCTCTTCAGGAAGAGATTGGAGTTGTATTTACCATATTGTAACACAAGCCTCTTACACGGCAATCAGCAGACAAAAAGCAGGAGTGTGGGTGGGATGCGGCTCCACTTCGCTCACTACTACGCAGACTCGGGTCCCAAATAAGCGCAATATGGCCGTGCCCTATTGGGACAATGGTGTTCTTCAACATTGGTTTTATTAATAATTGGATCTTTATTTGGATTTGAGACACGTAGGGATGACTGCCTGGCTCAACAAGGTGTTGAAGATATCTGTTAGGACTTTCATCAGCTGTGCAGCACAGTCTCTCAAGTACACAGCACCAAGAGGGTCTGGCTGCAGCCTTGCACTTGCACTCTCAGACTTGCACTCTCAGACTTGCATTCTCAGACTTGCGCTTCCGCTTGCGACGTCACTTGCAGTCTTTATTTTTTATTTTGTTCTATTTTGTTTTATTACTTTTTGTTTGAATCGCTCAACATTTTATAACAGTAGCCAGGTGGTGAAGACAAGAAAAAAGAAACTAAATTACACTGTCACTTGCAATCGCCACTTGCACTCTCCGCTACCTGCGACGTCACTTGCAATCGACACAAATCGTGCGTGTTGCCAATGGAGACAAGAAGCTGTGGTGGTGATTAAACGATTAAAACTAATTTAGTACTAGAACATACAGGGTCCTGCAAGAAAAAGACAAGACCCACAAATCCGTGGACACAGAACAGCAGAATATGAACGCATGCACAAAGTCTCTCGTTAAGTGTTTTCCTCCTGTAGAAAAACATAAACACTTAATATGGCATAATGTATTAAGATACATTAAGTGCAATTAAAAAATCAAATGCGATATATAGTTATTATTTAATGTACTACAAGGCAAGCAGATGGCTATGAACAAAATGCGCAAACTTTCACTTGTCCTCCCATACAGCAAAACGCTCAATGTGGCATAATAACACTATGGAAAAACGCTTAACGCAAAACTGTGCGTGTTGCATTTATTCTGGGCTCACCTGCTTGCCTGTACATATTAGTTATGTATATTAATAATGTAGAGGATCATATTGAGTTTGGCCTTTTTAGTCCATAATGCCACATTATGCCATGTTTTGCGGTATGGGAGGAAAATGCTATATACATATTCATTACAATAATAAACTGTATATTTAATTTGATATTTTAATAGCATCTTAATACATTACACCATGTTAAGTGTTTATGTTTTTCTACAGGAGGAAAACGCTTAACAACAGACTTTGTGCATGCGTTCATATTCTGCTGTTCTGTGTCCACGGATTTGCGGGTTGTGTCTTTTTCTTGCAGGACCCTGTATGTTATAGTACTAAATTGGCTTTAATCGTTTAATCACCACCACAGCTTCTTGTCTCCATTGGCAACACGCACGATTTGTGTCGATTGCAAGTGACGTCGTAGGTAGCGGAGAGTGCAAGTGGCGATTGCAAGTGACATTGTAATTTAGTTTCTTTTTTCTTGTCTTCACCACCTGGCTACTGTTGTAAAATGTTGAGCGATTCAAACAAAAATGAATCAATAAATAGAACTAAATGAAAAACTGCAAGTGACGTCGCTAGCGGATGCGCAAGTGTCTGAGAGTGCAAGTCTGAGAGTGCAAGTGCAAGGCTGCAGCCAGACCCTTCGCACACGGCCAGGTATGTTGTCAGGGCCCACAGCCGTACGTGGGTTAATCCTGGACAGGGTCTTCCTTACGTCGGCTGGAGAGAGACTGAGCACCTGGTCGTTTGGAGATGTGTGCAGTTTTTGTGCAGGTGTGTTGTGTATCTCAAATCGTGAGTAGAAGTGTTTGAGTGCAACTGGCAGGGATGTGTCACCGTCACTGGCCTGTGGCAGGGGCTTGTGATGGTCTGAATGGCTTGCCACAGGGTCCGGGTGTCTTCACTGTCACTGAAGTTATTGTTGATTTTTTGAGCATATTGATGTTTTGCCTTCTTGATGCCATGAGACAGATTGGCTCTTGCTGTTTTGAGAGCTGCCTTATCTCCTGATCCGAATGCCTTATCTCGGATTTTTAGCAGCCCGTCATCCGTGGCTTCTGGTTGGCTCGTGTGGTGATGGTCTAGGTCAGTGTTTCTCAACCAGGGGTCCGTGGACCCCTAGTGGTCCTTGACGCAAGGCCAGGGGGTCCGTATAAAGTATACATTTTGTATATTTTGACATGACATGTTCCCATGAAAGAAAAATGCCCAGTTTGAGCATATTGATGTTTTGCCTTCTTGATGCCATGAGACAGATTGGCTCTTGCTGTTTTGAGAGCTGCCTTATCTCCTGATCCGAATGCCTTATCTCGGATTTTTAGCAGCCCGTCATCCGTGGCTTCTGGTTGGCTCGTGTGGTGATGGTCTAGGTCAGTGTTTCTCAACCAGGGGTCCGTGGACCCCTAGTGGTCCTTGACGCAAGGCCAGGGGGTCCGTATAAAGTATACATTTTGTATATTTTGACATGACATGTTCCCATGAAAGAAAAATGGCCAGAATACTGGACAAGTCAGCTAACTTGAATAATACTTGACTGCATTTGGTCCTCACAAAGACACAAATCATACATAGATGAGTCAGTTTTGTTCTGGGGGTCCTTGAGGATGGTTCTGAATTGGACTAATGCAGTTTTTCATTTAGTCCAGTACGCCAAAAGGTTGAGATTCACTGGTCTAGGTGACCGTCACATCATCTATGATGCAAGCAGTCACTGTTTCTGTGTGTCTTTGTGATTGGTGTAGGTGGCTGCCTCTCTGAACATGTCCTGGATGCAGTCCTGCAGTGCTGAGGTAGCATCGTCTGGCCATATTGCGATCTGCTTTTGAACAACTGGGGATGCACGCAAGTATGTTTGCCTGAATTTCCAGCAGATGTTTGACGGCGACAGATTCGTCACTGCGATATTCCAGCGGTCATAGATTAAAAACCGTGTTTCACCAGTTGTATAAATTGGTATCATGCGAAACAACGCGTTTTGATTCCGCGGTGTCCGTACCTGCGTATTATACGCTGTTTTAGGGAAGTTGACCGTACTCTCATGTCACGCTCACAAACCACGCCCCTTGCACGTGACGCGCGAAATGCAGCTGGAGGGCAGGAAGGGATTTTTCCCTCAATAAAATCACTAGGAGAAACTCAAAATGCCTATGTTTTGCGCTGTTTATGGATGCTCAAATCGGTCCAACCGAGAAAAAACGAAGAGCTTTTATCGTGTACCAAAAGTTGTTGCTCACAAGGGGGGAAATTTCAAGGAATTGACTGAAAAACGTAGGAAAAAGTGGCTTGAAAACCTGCGTCTGCGGTCGGGAGGAGCGGAGTCCGCTAATGCTCGTGTGTGCAGTGACCACTTTGTCAAAGGTAAGTTATAACTTAAATATGCTATGTTTATGTTTGTATAAAGTTAGCTTTTCCGTACTTCGTGAAGTTAAAATGATAGTTGTAACTTAACAAAAATATGTAACATTAGCAAAGCTAACTACAAAGTCTTTACAGGGGGCAGATTTATTGCTACTGTGTTGTTCTCTTTAGGCTGCCCTAGTGCTATAAATGATGTTCAGTCTGTAGACTGGGCTCCTACAATTAACCTCGGTTATCAGAAATGTAGGCCCATGTCGGAAGCATCGCGTAAACGAACGGAGAGGATGAAGTCCAGAGACGATCAACATGGACACGCAGAAGCTGCAGAGGCCTTGCTGGATCTCCATGAGTCAGCTGAGAACACCGAGCAAGAGGACAACACAGAGATGTTACCTGATCAACAAGGTAAAGTCATTGTATTAATACGTGTTGCCAGTATTTGTATAAGGCAGACGATATTCTTACAACAAATAATGCATGTAAACTTTGAATTAGGCTTACAAAATTATTTATTATTTATCACCCTAAACCCTAGTACATCCCTACAACTTATTTTATTCTATTCCATCTATACTACACCTGTGCATACAATTTATTCTTTTTTTGTGGTTTATATTTATACATGTGTATTTTATTCACATTTCATTTGTATTATCTGTGTGTTGTTGTTGTCTCCGTGCACTGGAAGCTTGTGACACTATAACAAATTCCTTGTATGTGCAAACATACTTGGCAATAGAGCTCTTTCTGATTCTGAAAATAGATAATTAATTCTCTGTGGACTCACCTGGGTGTATAAAATGTGTAGTGTATAAAAAAATAAGAATCCACAAATAAAGTGGAACAGATAACTTGAAACTTTTGTAAGAATGCTGACTACGAAGTAGTAGAAATAGTCAATAATTCATGTCATTATTGATATGGAGAGTAATTTGAATAACTAATCCCTCTCCCTACTGGTATATATTTTATGCAGATGCAGAATGCCAGACAGACCTAACCATGGATGACATTAGCCCCGTTTCCACCGCAGGAACTTTCCCCAGGAACTAGGGCTTTGGGCGTGTTTCTGCCGCAGGAACCAGGATCTAAATAAAGTTCCGGGTAAAAATTTGCCCCTCAGAAATTCCCTGCTCCGAGGTAGTAGTACTTTTTCAAAGGTCCGGAACTTTCGGGGGCGGGACTTGTGCGCTGAGCATGCTGATTGGTTGAGTTCACGCAACGTTGTATTTCAACCACCACATATTCGCATGTTTTTGTCAAATATTACTGTTATTGTGTCATGAAATGTTGTTTTAAAAGTATTTCCGGCGAGAATGTAGTTGGTTAAAACTCAAATCTGCGGTTTATTTATAAAGACTGTTTGAAAATGTGCTTGGCCGATTTCGGAGACGTGAGCTCCACGCGATCAGCGGGCGCTCAGTGCTCATGTATCCCGACGAGAGCAGCCTCAACTCTGCTAGTCCTTCTGACATTTGGCGCTGGCTCTGATGTCTCTGTTGTGGTTAAACATTAGATATGTGACCCTGGAGCACAAAAGCAGTCTTAAGTCGCTGGGGTATATTTGTAGCAATAGCCAAAAATACATTGTGTTGGTCGAAATTTTTCTTTTATGCCAAAATCATGAGGATGTTAAGTAAAGATCATGTTCCATGAAGATATTTTGTAAATTTCCTACTGTAAATATATCAAAACTTAATTTTTGATTAGTAATATGCATAAGTAATATACTTCATTTGGTCAACTTTAAAGGTGATTTTCTCAATATTTAGATTTTGTTTTAACCCTCAGATTCCAGATTTTCAAATAGGTGTGTCTCAGCCAAATGTTGTCCTATCCTAACAAATCGAAAAATTGACACTTAAGACTTAGGTTTTGTGGTCCAGGGTCACACATAATTCGTTTTGGGTAAAGCTAACAGGTAATATTTTCATTGTAATGTATGTATTTTCCCTGAACTACATTTATGCGGCTATTAATGTGTTTAAATGAAAACGAAAAGAGGCAGTGGTGTTTGATATCATATTTCGTCTTATTGTAAATACACATGGTCAAACTATAAGCATCACCACACTGTTAAGTTTCTTATCGGTATTGCTCCCCAAGGGTATGTTTCTTGCATATTACTAACTCTTCTTCCCCAAGCAGAAGATAAGCAAACTACAGAAGAGAGTGACCTTCTAAAAAAAACCTGTTACCTGGCGATATTGTTCTAGCAGACCGTGGGTTTAATGTTGGGGATAGTGTAGGATTCTACTGTGCTTCACTACAGTTACCTGCATTCACTAAGGGGAAAAGACAGTCGTCCGCAGACGAGGTGGAACAAACTAGAGAAATAGCTTATTTGCGTATTCATGTAGAAAGGGTTATTGGATTAGTTAGAAGGAAATATCAGATTCTGCAAAGTAGGGCCATGCCCATCGAACACATGGCAACAAAACCAGGTGAGTCACTGTCTTTGATAAGATTGGAGTTATTTGCTGTGCCTTGTCAAATTTATCAGAGTCCGTGGTCCTACTGGAGTAAGAAATTATGAAACTGAAATAATGAACTTCTGATCATTAAATGTCATGATTTGAAATGGTCATGAAATGAAAAAACTTTGGATGTTAATGATGATATATAATATTTTGGTATACTACTTAATAATAGCATAACAGTACACTATGTTTTTAGTGAATTTTGTATATAACCTAAGGGCTAAATTCAATCAAATCTACTGTGGTGTCATGCAAAGTTCCCCACGTACAAATAAATACCAAATTAACTGTAATTAGTTGGGTTAGACCAGGGGTAGGCAAGTTCGGTCCTAGAGAGCCGCAGTCCTGCAGAGTTCAGCTCCAACCCTGAAAAAAAACCTCACCTGCCTATAGCCTTAGTAATCCTGAAGACATTGATTAGCTTGTTCAGGTGTGTTTGATTAGGGTTGGAGCTGAACTCTGCAGGACTGCGGCTCTCTAGGACCGAACTTGCCTACCCCTGGGTTAGACAAAGGACAATTGATCTAGCCTCAGTGTGGACACGAAGATATAAAAATGCAGTGCTCTGCCATGCGCCGCAGTAGCTTTTTTTGAATTTACCTTCAGACTTTATTAAATTCAATATAATTTACAAAGTGCACACTGTTTTAGTTCTTATAAGTAACCACCAATACGGTTTCTTGTATAATTTAATATTTTTTTATTTTTATTTAATCTCCTCAATAAACATCTGATTGCCAACAAAGACACATTCATGTTATTCAGTGCTTTTCTTTTGCAAAATATGACTGAATCAAGTGCCTGAGCTGATGTAAGGTAGTGTCCTTTAGTTATATTACATGTCAAGATGTTGTTTTGTAACTTGCTGTCCCAACACTTCTGGAAGTATACAGTTTCTGAAAAAATTCTTAACTCTAGGAATCAGATCATCCCAAAAGCCCATTTCAGGTATAATCCTTTAAAAAAAAAAAAGTTATTAGAGTTCCACACCACAAAGTCGCAATACTCAGCATCCACAGGCTGTGTGAAGCTGTGCCTGGACTTGGTAGTAGTAAGCATGGCTCCTGTCCAGTGTAACCTCATCCCAATCTTTGATAAGGCAGAATCCTTTGTCTCCAGCACACAGGTGCAGATTAACTTTGTCTTGCTTGCAGTGTGGGCACTAACATTCACAGTAAAAAATAACATGTAAACAACTGATGCGACTAATTTTTCTTACTTTTTATTTCACTAATTTTTATATAGTCATGTGTTTTTGTGACATTTCGACTACCAAGTCTTGCACAAAAAGGATAGTAAAAAAAGCCCTGTAATAACTTTCCACAGTTCTGTCTTTATAGGAAAGTGAAATTATGATTTTAACATATCAAATATCTTTTTTTACTGTGTTTATAATGAACCGTAATATTACCTTTATCTCACAAATCCCAGTTCCATGACAGTCACATGTGACTATCCCATCAGGCGAGGCTCCCATGTATGGCTGAATCCCAAGTGGCCATACCATACTTTCAAGCCAGGACCACCTTACATACAGGAGAAGCCCTCATGCTCCAGACACATCAGCCTTTCATACTCTGCTCTGGCTTGTGCCTCATGCTTGCACCCATAACTGTAAAAAGTACACAGAAACAATCAACAACAAATTAAATGGTTATTTAATATTTAGTGTTGAATTTAGAAACTTTGCAACATTATTACAGTTCAATGGTTTAAATGTTTACCATTATCCTAACCCCTATACTTAACCCTACCCCTGCCTAACCCTTTTACAAACCCATACCTTTATGGAGACCCTTATGGTAGTCTTACCGAAAATCTCACCTCTGTCTTATCCTAATTCAAGCCCTAAATACCTTGTCGCGACTGTTGTGAACTCGTGTGCCTCTGGGTAGCCTATGGCCTTAATCAAGCTCTTGGGACGTTTTCAGAGGGTTCGTTTGAAGAACTTGTTTAAGCGTAGAGGCAGTTATGCGTCCAGCTCTTTGTCGATACCAAATCCTGGATG